TACCAACAATAAAGTTATTACCAATTTGAAAATGCCACGACATAATGAGTTGTTTAATAGTGAGAAATCCAGATTTAAGTCCACTGGATTTTTGACAATGGTCACAATATTCTATTGTTATTAATTAATTGTTATTGTTATCGATTATTATCGTTACTAATTGCTACAGTTACTGTGTGTTATTGATTTTAAATGTTAACCTTAAAATTACTTTAAAACAATTAAAAGCAGATAACTTGGAAACCGGTAGACTTAGACAATGTAAGCAAGAGTACCTTTTTTGTGTAGAATTGAAAACTCCTTCAGATTTCTGGTTCTAATTCACCATACCTCAACTGACAAAATAGTCATGACTTGATATCTCATACGTACAGTGTATATCTAGCGCCCTCTACGAGTAATTACAAAACAAATATCAAATTCGTATTTCTCATGCTTGAAAACATCTAACTACCAAATTTTATGTTAATAGTACAAAAACCTTTAAAATTATCAAGAAATTTCGAAATAAAAATTTAACTTTCAACACCCTGTGTATTAAAAACCACCGACATTTGTATAAGACATATTAGGATAAATCGTCATATTTTGGTGTCTAGTGTCTCCGGTATTCGGATTTCCCATTCTTTCTGACTCACCCTGTATATTAGAATGTATTAAGGGGATAAAAATTGTAAATATTAAAAACAATAAAATGCTTATTAAATAACTTATACTCCCTTTATAAATTGCAATGAATTTAATATAGAGTAATTTGGTTTAAAATTGATTTCTTTGAAGTTTTTTAACATGAAATATGCTAGTTTATATGTAGGTGAGTTATTATAGGAAGTTATAGGTCGTATTGGTATATTTTGTTTATGAAGCTTAGGTAAAGCATACAGTTTTGGGTTCATATGTATAAACAAATTTGTATAAATAAATTTTACACTTCTATTTAAATGTTTAAATGATTTTTTTAACGGCGAATTGTTGAGTTTAATTTTCCTTTCTTCTCAAACCAGTTTTTTAAAAAACGCATTCCATAACTTGTATTATTGTATTGAGTCCTTGATTTTGTTTCATGTCTCGTGTCAAGTGTTATCTTTTCGTGAAAATAATTTTAAATTGTTAGTTACTTGTGAAATTTATCTCTAATGACCAAACAGATGTTTCCAATTTCAAATTAGTTTTATTCTTGACCGTAAGTTTGTAAAAAATTATATTATATTATTATTTTAATGATTCGGCTGATGATGACCTAATATAGTGTCGCAACCGGTACCGAGGAAATTTAAAATAAACGCGAGAAACTGAAGTTTAAAACACATTATTGTTTTATTATATCTTATTTTTATTAATTAATCTCGCAACATGGATTCTAATAATAAAACTTACTTTGAATCTTAGTTCTCCAATTGGGGGTTTTGCAAATGGAATCGATTGGAAACTAAAAAAATGTTTGCCATCGATATCTTTAAGAACTGATCCTCTTAAATTTCCGTCAGAAATCGTAACGATTGGTTCGGAAGCGCTTGAAATAGTTGTTTGAAAGAAACAGAACGGAATTAAGAGAAATAACATTTTAAAACGTTCGGTTAAGCTGCAAATCATTTTACAACTAATTTCAGAGAAACGGTTATTTTTGATTATAATTTATTATATAATATATCTTACTGGAAATACATTTTAATCTATTCTTTTATCCGTACTTATCTGTTTTAAGGTCAATAGTGTAACATAAATTATGAAATTGGTAACTATTTTAAGAATCATTTTGTATATTACCTCATGGATTATTTTTAAAATTAATTTGATTTATTGTTTTTTTGTTTATCATAATAAAACTTAATATCAAACTTAATGTTGCAGTTCAAGTTCAGTTTAAGTTTGATAATTGCTTTTCTATATTTTACGATTGAATACTGACCTTTCTATCTTTCGCAACACTTTTAAGGTTATTCTCTTTGTCGAAGGTTAACCCTAGTTTGGCAATGGCGATTTTAGAAACGTTCAATAAATAAAGATACAACATAAATAAAGATCAAAAGATGATGATGATTTATGATGGAAGTTCATGGAATATCGGAAGAATACAAAGAAAGGAAGAAAAGAACGTGAATTTGAACTATCGGAATTTACCATGGATGATCAAGATGAACAATGGACATATATTTATTATGTCTTTATATTTCTATTTATTATTACTTATTTTTAAGTGTTAATGAAGATAGGCCATTTGAATACACGCTCGCTTCCAGCTCACTTTGCTGCCGTTAAAAATATTATACAAACAGAATCGTACGATATTTTCGCCATGTCGGAGACATGGATCTACCCTGACTCGGATCATGATGCTTACACTATTCCTAACTACCGTCATTTGTTTGTTGGGCGCTCAGCCTCTGATCCTCCTGGTCGTGGGGGCGGTATTGGAATTTATGTAAAGTCTCTTTACAATTTGAATGTCATTTTTAGCGAAGTTTTTCCTTTCATAGAACATTTGTGGATTGAGGTGAGTAGAGGCGAGTTTTTTCTGACGGTTGGTGTTATATATAGACCAAATGTTGATTTTTCCCAATTTTTAACTAGTTTTGAGGATGCCCTATCGCATCTGGTTCTACGATCCGAGGGATTGGTGTGCTTGGGTGATTTCAATATTGATGCTTTTGGTGTGACGGGNAAACATTCCCTCAAGTGACCTTATTTCGGAATGCTGACAAGATTTTTGTAAGGAACTTTGCTGTGAGGAGCCACCGCTGGACAGTATTGAGGATTTAAAACAAAAAATTATTGACCTCTGCCAAAACATTGATCATCACATGTTAAGCCGTGTGTGAGAGAAAACACTACAAAGATGGTACCACTGCGAAGTTGAGGGTAATCATATCGAACAAGTTACTTAAGAGTTTGTTCTTAATAAATAAAAAATTCTTTTATTATTCAATAACAACACTAAGCCAATGTTTTAACCGTTACGTATACAGTGGAACCTCGATTATCCGGTCTAATGACCGGTTGAGGGTTGCTGGATAATTGAAATGCACGGATAAATGAAAGGCATATAATAGTGTTTAAATCTTTATTATGAAAATAACAGGAACTATAGAGTACATATATACAGACAATATAAATTGAACAACATGTTTCAAATTTATTTATTGGTTAAAGAAATCAGTTATTTGGAGCTGTTTCTTCTTATTGTAAAGTTTTAAACATATGTTGGAACGAATTTTCCGCAAGTTCAAAACATCTATGTGATCTGTATCATTTTGTTGATCTAAAAAACTTAATGGCCCGTCTACATGTGAGAGTGCAGCTTCTGGTGGAACTTTTTTTTCAGGTGTAGAAACGTTTTCGTCTTCATCCTCCTCATCGGTGGCATCCGTTGCTGTAGGTTCCGAAATTGTTGCAATCTGTGTGTCATTTAAAACTTCATAACCCGGTTCGTTTTTATCGCAGTGTAACAATTCCTCAATGTCGGTTATGTCTACAAATTCAAATTCTACAACATTTTGTATGCCATTCAAGAGTTGCCTAGACGTCACTACAGTAGATTCTTCATTTTTGGAGGAACTGAAATTTTCTGTAAGTTGTGGCCAAACTTTGAACCAAGATTTTTGTATTGTTACATTTGGAACATCACCCCAACTCTCTGCTGCCGCATATATGGCATCTTTGATGTTCCATTTCTTCCAAAATTCTTTCAGTGAGCAATCTGCCGCAACATTATTTTTCTAAACCGTCGAACCTTGCAAGCCTCTATTACCCCTTGATCCATCGGCTGTAATAAAGCCGTAACATTTGGAGGCGAACACTGCACAAAAATTTGACCATTAGCCGTTTGTAATGTACGTTCTTCTGGATGTGAGAGAGCATTATCCAATAAGAGCATTGCTCTTTCGGGTAAGTGTTATGATTTCAAATGTTTCTTAACTGAAGGAGCAAATTCTTCAAAAAACCAAGTTTTAAAAATGTCTTGATTCATCCAAGCCTTTGTTTGATATTTATAACAAACAGGAAAATGTTTCATTTCGGTTCCCTTGAATGATCTTGGATTTTTTGATTTACCTATGCACAACAGTGGTAATTTATGGCTTCCACTAGCATTGGCACAGGGCATTAATGTTATACGTTCCTTACTAGATTTGTG